CATCTCTGAACAGCTACATTTGGAAACTTCCACCCGATGGTCTGCAGCAGGCAGTCACTCATGATGACCATCTGTACCCCAACATTGCACTTCATATTGATTTTCTCCAGCTATGCAGTTATACTTTTGGAATCAATATATCTCTCCCTCTCCAGTCACTTGATGGTTAGCCAAGGAATGCAGAATCACTTTGATAATAGCATAAGGCAAATATGAGTAGGAAGATAACCCCAGGGGAAGAAATTTTTTAATGCATTACTAACTTGAATAGAGAACATTTATAAATTTTTCTCTCATTTAGAATAGTGATTCTCCACCCTAGTACACCGAATCAACTTTAGGTAATAAAAACTTTGAAATTCTTCCTTTGCTACCCTAAAATGCAAACTAGAGATAATGCTACCTTCCTACACAGTTAATTTTCTTTTTTTTTATAGTTATTAAAATTATATTTTATTTTTTTAAGTTTTTATTTAAATTCCAGTTAGTTAACATACAGTGTAGGGGCACCTGGGTGGCTCAGTCAGTTAAGCATCTGCCTTAGGCTCAGGTCATGATCCTGGGGTCCTGGGATCGAGGCCCACATCAGGCTCCCTGCTCAGCAGGGAGTCTGCTTCTCCCTCTCCCACTTGCCTGCCTCTCCCCCTGCTTGTTCATTCTCTCTCTCTCTGTCAAATAAATAAATAAAATCTTAAAAAAAAAAACATACAGTGTAATATTAGTTTCACGTATACAACATAGTAATTCAACACTTCCATAAAACACCCAGTGCTCATCACAGCAAGTGTACTCCTTAATACCCATCACCTATTTAACCCAACCCTCCATCCAACTCCCCTCTGCTAACCCTCAGTTTATTTTCTATAGAAAAGAGTCTGTTTCTTGGTTTGCCTCTCTTTTTTTTTCCCCTTTGCTGATTTGTTTTGTTTCTTGAATTCCACATGTGAGTGAAATCATATGGTATTTGTCTTTCTCTAACTGACTTATTTTGCTTAGCATCATACTCTCTAGCTCCATCTATGTCATTGCAAATGGTAAGATTTCATTCTTTTTTATGACTGAGAAATATTCTTCCTTGTCCATTCATCAGTCAGTGGACTCTTGGACTGTTTCCACAATGTGGCTATTGTAGATAATGCTGCTATAAACATTAGGTTGCATGTATCCCTTTGAATTAGTATTCTTGCATTCTTTGAGTAAATACCTAGCAGTGCAATTGCTGGATCATAGGGTAGTTCTATTTTTAACTTTTTGAGGAAACCTCTACTGTCTTCCAGAGCTACACACTTAATTTTTTAAAAGTCAATATGCCCTGAGTATGGAAGATAAAAAGAAAAGTCACTTCTAGTAAAAATAATATTTCAATGTGTGGAAGCCGGGGCATAAGAACAATAAGAGAGGTAATGAAGTCCTCAGAAGTCTGCTGTCATTTACAGAATCACTATAAATGCAAACTCACACAGGTGTGCTGTTTGATGTTCAGAGACCATGAGTCATGTTGCTCTTGATGATATGGTTTTCCAAAATAATGGTCAAATCTTGGTAAATTCCAAACAAAACAAATTACAACTGTCCCTCAATTTACCCAGTTGTTGCAGCCCTAGAAAATTCAATGTATATGAAATCATGAAAAAAATGTGTTAATATATAAAGTGGGGATAGATTCAGGATCAGGAATTATAAACAGGTTTTTATAATTTATAAACCTGTTTTTATAAACACATCCATTTTGACCCATAGGAGTTATGGAACACACAGGACAATGCCTCTTTCTGTGGGACACTCCCACACTGTAGAATGTCTAACAGCTCACAGGTTCCTACGCACTTAATGCTTCAGGTGCCCACAATCCTCATGAGAACAATGGACACCCTCACAGATTTCCGAAATTCCCCCTAGGCAGCAGTACCACTTTTGCTGAGAACTACTGGTTTGCAGTATTTTCTCCAGGGCTGCCCCCACTGACTCAAATGACTGAAAGTTGATTCTGTGAAACCAAAGAATGATAGCACTAGAAGGGACCCTAAAGTTTATCTATCTGGCCCCCTCCCTTTACCCATGTTAGGAAAGTAACTTGCCCTTAGACACTCAGTTATTACATGACCTAGAATAAAAACCATGGTTTCCCTTTCTTTGGTTTTTTTTTCTTATTGAAATTAGAAAGATACCTTTGAATATGTCTCTCTTACACACCAGATATTTGAAAAGTTGAGTGATTGACAACATTTTCTGGTTTTTTTCAGGACATTTGGGGTTGAAATCACTCTTCACCACTGAGCTTCAGTGCCAGGGTGGATACTCTCTAGTGCCCACTAAAAGCCTGGATTCTTGCATGCAAATAAATCAGAAAGATGCAAAAATAAAATCCTTTACAAAGTGTCCAAAAGAATGGTCTCTAGGAGCAGAAATTGTCTTACCCGGTTAGTGTCTAATTGATTTTCCCACTATTCTTCCCAAACTCCAGCTATCAGCATCCAAGCAGGACCTTGGGAACTAAATGACTGACTTCATATGCTCCTGCACCGTGCCCAGCTCAGGGCCTCTGTCTCTGCCTCAGGACAGCAATGCACTTGTTCCTTCACAAGACCTAAGGAAGACTTGGCTATTTGCCAATTACCCTTGGCAAGTGGGTTCTGATGCTGAATTGGGTATTTTTACATCTAGTTTGGCAGATCAAATATTAAGGAGAGAACCACTGATTGCCCAAACTTCATAATACCGGCTCTCCAAATTAAATTTACAATCAAATTTAATGTCAATTTCAAAAGCATTGGTAGAGAAACTTCAATTTACAAGACTTGTGCATTATTAGGAGTAAAGACGGTGAAGAGAAGAAACTCATAGGATATAAGAATTATTGGGTAAAGCTGTGGATCCTACATCAAAGAGTAGAATTAGGATTGCCTCCTAATCCCTTCCTCACACCATACTAAAAGGGCAGCTTAATGTGTATCTGCAAACCCAACTCTCTTCAGGAGATGAGAGCACAAAAGTCCTTCAAGCATTCAAGAAAACACTATCAGGTCCTCATACTCGGTGCTTATACACTCTATACTCTACTCATGGAAAAATTCTCTAGCCCTTCCTTCAGAGAACAATTCCTCTTAATTTTAGATTCACTCTAACAATTTAAACATCACAGGTGGTCTGCCTGCTCAAAGTCACCGCTGTGTCAGCATCAAAAAAAAAAAAAAACAACTGACAGTCTGACCTCCAGGAAGAAGGTGGGAAACTGTTTTACAAAGGGGTAGGGGGTGCCGACATAAGAACTCAAAATAAACGGTAGCCTAGGTTATTCAGTGCAGAGACTGATGGCTTTGCTAGCCCTGAGAATGTCTCCATATATAGAACAATATAGTAATTGATGTAAAAGAAAAGGAAACTATGCCCAATATATTTAGCAGCAAAATCCGTAAAATTCAATGAAACAGGTAGAATCCTAGAGTGTCAGAAGAGGAAGACCCTTAAAAGAGCATCCCTGTCTAATTCCTTTATTTTACAAAGAAGGAAACTGAATATAAAGGAATGAACAGGGTCAAGGCAGATTTGAGACAAGAGCACAGCCCCACTTGTCCAGTGCTCCTTCCACATGGATGGACTGAGAACTGACAGCACTAAGGGGTAGGAAAAGAGACATTGCATCACCTTTAATCATTCATTGTGTCCTGGCTTCTGACAACTGTTTTTGCTTCCTTGCATTGATTTTATTCCCTGATTTGTGATGAAAGAAACTTAGGGTTGGCACTTAAAATTGTGACTGAAGGAAAAGTTTACTTTGAAATCCTTCCTACATCCCATTCCTGATGTGTTTCCTCCAAGCTGTCCTATGTTTGTCATCCAACTTGGCACCCCACCCACTGGCCTCACACCCAGAGTCCCCAGCATGACATAGGAAATGCTCCCAACTCCCAGAAGTTTGGTGTATTCCCAGTCTCTTTCTAATCTGATCTATAATTCCATCAAAGAATGAGGGAATATACTAGCGTTTTTCAATTACAAGTGGAGAGCTTGTGAAAATGCAGATTCCTGGTCCTCATCCCTGAAATTATGATTTAATAGATGATTCTCGTGGAAGTGGGTTTTGACCCACTCTGGAAAATACATGGCTTCTACTTACCTCTCCAGGCTCTCTGCCCCCAGTCCCCTCATGCACACTTCCCTCCACCCAAATACTTCGGACTGCCTACTCACCATGTCTTTGCTTCATGTTCCACCTTCTTTGCCCAGTTAATTCCTCCATATACCTCAAAACCAGCTGATGCACATGTCTCTCCCCTCTGTTTTCTCTGTTCCTGTATATCTCTGCATTATTGAGTTTATGCAGCCTATGATGGATACTGATCTTTTGGTATATCTCCCCTTGAGGTCAGGTCATGTCTCACTTGCCTTTTTTATTCCCAGCACTTAGCACCCTGCCAAGCACATAGTGGGCAAATCTATAAGTGTTCATTAAATTATCTTTTCCACATATTAAATTTCCTTGTTAAAAACTTAGTCACTTATTTACATTTGCATGTTTTATCAACCCCACCTCCCATATATAGCACAAAATCTTCACAGATCGCTTAAACTCTCATTCTCAAATGAGGATCTCCATCCACAATATGTAAAAATGAAAGAGAAGAATGTTAATGTAATGTAGCCATTAAGTGTGGGGTTCATAATAACCTAGGCCCACGTTCATTCAGGATCTCTGACACCTAAGGAACATCACAGAGACATACACAACAAACAGGAATTTTTCTAAATAAAGAGCAGTTTCCAATAGCTTGTTAGAATCCATTTTGATTGCCTTCGCAGGAATTCAGGTTAAAAGTTTTTCAGAACTGACATTGCAAGACGTTAGAATTGGCCTTGAATTTACTCATATATATAAAATTTCATGTGTTTGTTCTAAGATTGCAGAGATTCCCAGTATTTTGTACCCAAGACGGTTAAACATCTTAGTGAAGAGGCTCCTCTCCTGAAGTCCACCACCCATGTGTGCTTGTCCCATGCAGGTGTCTGCTACGCAGAGTTCGGAGTCCGCGTCCCCAAGACCACGGGGTCAGCCTACACCTACAGCTACGTCACTGTCGGGGAATTTGTGGCGTTTTTCATTGGCTGGAACCTGATCCTGGAGTACCTGATTGGCACTGCAGCTGGTGCCAGCGCTCTGAGCAGCATGTTCGACTCCTTAGCAAACCACACCATCAGCCACTGGATGGTGGACAGCGTGGGAACCCTCAATGGCCTGGGTGAGACTGCCATATCCTCTTACCCCAACAAATAAATGGGCTCCCCTTTCAGGATTCAATTTGACAAAATGTTATCCAAAGCCTTAAATATGTCTCTCTTTTTTTGCAAAGTAGTTATCCTGTGAATCTATCCTAAAGAAATCATCCTAATTTCCATAAAAGCTTTATATGAAAAAATATTCATCACAGCCTTATTTATAAAAAAAAAAATTAGAAGCAGCCTAAGTATTCTACAGTGGAGCAAATGATTACGTAAATTGTGGAAGCATATTATGTAGCTTTAAAGCTTTAAAAGGATGATTGGGAAGACTGTTGTAATAACATGGAATATGTTTTTGATGTAATGTCATGTGACAAAGGATACAAATTGTATATGCATCATGTTTATAACTATATAAAAATAAAACCAATGCAGGAAAAATAACTGTTATGAACTTCTCCAGTGGTTTCATCAGATTTTTTTTTAATTTTCATAAATAAGCACGTGTTAATTTTTAAATGACAAAATATACTTTTAAAAGGGACAAAATGGATTCCAGTCTAGCAGAAGTCAAGGAGGGGTAATATAACTGGGTAAATACTAAATAATCAGAACTTCACGTAACAAATACCAGGAGCTCCATCCATCGCTTGCTCCTGCTTTCCATCCTGATGTCTGACTTTACCCTCTCATATTTATGGGAAGCCACACAATAGTTGAGGAAGCTTGGGGGTCTTGCCACAGAACTTCCAAGGACAGCTTCCATGGCTGTGTGCTACTCATGTGACTTTGGTGTCCCTATCTCAGAAGAATTGATAAAAATTGCTGAGCATCCAGATACCACGAGAAGATTAAAAAGTATGAAGACCACATCTCCACAGTATACTGATTTCACAAAGATTTTAGGTCCGAAAAGGCCTCCAAAATCGGGGAGTGCAAACCCTTCACTTTACAGATGAGGTCTAGGGAACTGAGGCATTTGCCCAAGGCCACACAGCTGATCATGGGCAAAAGTGCAGCTGAAATTCAGGAGCCTGACAGCTGAGGCAGTGCCTTTTCCCCTCTATAGAGGGCAGGAGTCCACTGGCCAACAGAACAGGCATTAACAGGTGGGGTGTGTTCACTGCTTCTTTTCTCTGCAACCACATACACATAAATGCAAAGAACACCCTTCTTCCAATAGCTTTCAGAGATACACATTTTTAAACTTTCTAAAAATGAAAAGATTGCTGGAATGGAATGGAAAATTTATGGACTATAAAGTGAACAACAGTGAAGATAAACCGGTTTTCAAATAACATGTTAAACCCATATATACACCAAGAATGTCTCAGGACAGATCTGACTTCAAGTGTTCTATGCCACAGTTCCATAGGCCGTGTTGTCATTGTCATGTCATGTCGCCCAATTTTGGGTCCAGGATATCAGGTCTTCTTACCTATATACCAAAATCTTCCCATTTGCAAATAGACACTTGTGGACCACAGTGTAGGCACACGTGCACACACATACACACACTTGCACACAAGCGCACATGTGGACACGCATGCCCGCACACACTTGCTTCTCCTCCCTCCATGACAAACTGATCACCCTTGCCAGAGCTGAGTGCAAATGCCTGACAGGATGCTAGGAGTTTGCATGGCCCTTTTTTCCCTCTAGACAATATTAACTCATATCTTTGCCCTCTAGGGAAAGGTGAAGAATCATACCCTGACCTTCTGGCTCTAGTAATTGCCATCATCGTCACCATTATTGTTGCGCTGGGGGTAAAGAATTCCGTGGGCTTCAACAACATCCTCAACGTGCTGAACCTGGCAGTATGGGTGTTCATCATGATCGCAGGCCTCTTCTTCATCAATGGGAAATACTGGGCTGAGGGCCAGTTTTTGCCCCATGGCTGGTCAGGGGTGAGTTCATCTCTAAAGCCTCGTAAGGCTATTGCACATTCTGCCTTCCACCCTGTGGCTAGTGTGAGACATACTTTCAAAAAATGCTGCTCTGTCCCATAATCTTCATGGCATCTTTTTCATCACTTTTTATCTGAATTTAATTGGAATGCTCTGAAAAAGAGGTTCCTATATCATTTTTTTTTACTTGTTTCACAAACTTTTATTGAGACCCTATTTTATACAAGTAACCATAATAGATTTGATGTTTTGGTCATCTGAAATACGCCTAATCCTATGCGAAGTGCTCTGCATGTAATACTTAAGTGTCCTAATAACCTTGAAAGGAAGATATTTTATATTCTGGTCTTACAGATGAAAAACTCACACTCAGAGAGGTCAGGGGACTCGCTATTAAGTGCACACTCTAAGTGGCAGAGTCAAGACCCAAAGCCAGGACTGTCTGACTCCAAAGCCTGTATTTGAAGAGCTTGGTCCTAGAGAATCCCTCTAGAGTATTTTCAGAAAGACAGATCACCTTAAACAGACAAGGCAGTAAAGGAGTCAGAAGAGAGGGTAGGTAGGTTAAGGGATGAGTGTTGCCTGGGTATAAAACTAGGGAAACAACAGTTTTTAAATTTAATCCCAATGTTTGACCCAATGTAGAGAGCCCCACTGAGGTCTAGGTGCAGCTGAGAGGGCACAGTGAAGACTGGCCATAAATCCCATTCTAGTGGCATGGTTCATGGCATCGAAGTCCACCTGGTGTGGTACGGGAGTTGGCCAAAGAGTAGGCTGGACTAAAAGGACATTTTCAGATCTCATCCCCCTGATCTGAGTGGTGAGGTTTACACTAAAAAAAAATGGGAAGATCAGAGGGCAAAGTCTTTATACTGACAAGGAATTCTAAATTATGCCTGGATCCTTTTTCTGGTATGATGAAAAATACCTACTTGATGAATTCATTGGTAAAATTCAACTACCTATTCCTTTCTTGAAAATAGTAGAACATAGATCAGAGAATTTTGAGCTGGAAGAGATCTTAGAAATCACCTGCTTCTACCCCTCATCTAGCAGGTGAAGAAACTGAGGTCAAGGGAGGCACGCCTGCCTAGCCCTGGTAGAGAGCAAGTCCGGGACTCCACCAGATTTGCTTTTGTAAAAAGCTCTTGCTTAGACTGGTTTTCCTCCAAGATGTCCAGGGACCAGAAATCTCTCTTGGAGAACACTCAAAATAACTCCTGTCTATTCTGAGCCGTGCCATACTGTTCAATGCAAAGAAATAAGCAAGAGAGCAATTTAAGCCAAGATTTCTAGTCTTCTGCTTATCTGTAAGAATTCCACAGTACCGCAAAGTTCATCCCTCCTCCATCCCCCTTGAAATGCATAAATCCTGAAACTGGTCAAAACCAGAAGAGACAAAGAAACACTGTTGACCCCATTCTGGGTCCCCAAGTCGACATTTTCTTACAATACAAATCGTTCCTTCCCTATCAAATAAAAGAAACAACAAATTACAAGAGTGGCAAAGAAAGAAGTGTTTTTCCGGAACTCAACTGCATTTTCATCCTAGCACACGAAAACGTTCTCACCATTTTTTTCACAGTCTAAGAAATTTTGGGGTCATGGACTTAGTGTTAAGACTTTGGCCAATAGCTAACTTCTGTGCTTTCAGATTTTCTCATTCATCAACTGGGAAAATTAATTGCACCTAATGTTTGCCAAAAAGAATAACATCTTGGATGGTTTTTTGGTACGCATTGTGTGGTTAGCAATAGTGATACTTACAGGAGGGAGGAGTTAGAGTTTATCGACTGCCTGTTAGGTGCCTGGCATTGTGATCTACGAATATTATTTCACTCTTATAACAAAACCTTAAAGCAGGTGCTGCTGTGCCCAACTTAACAGATGGAGAATCCAAGGCTCAGAGAGGCTGGATTCACTTAGCTGGAGTCACTTAGCTGGTCAGTGCCAGGACTGAAATTCCTAGTCGGGTCTATGTGACTCCAAAGCGTTTTCTATTGCATGGTCTACCTTGTGCATGATTGCCCCTTGTTTCTGAGCTTTCCTTAAAAATGTAATAAGATAACTAATCTAACATATTACGTTCTCATTTCCTTTAAGCTTTCACAAAGTCATAAGAGTCTTAGGGCTAGGAGGAGCATTAGGACATGGTCTAGCCTCTTTTCTTACCTTCAGATGGCCCTGTAAACCAGCCCAGGCCAAAGTACATTGTTTACTAAGACATCATAGCAAAACAATTTGAAAACATTTTGTAATTACTCAGTTCATGTCTAATTTTCAAAAATCTAAGAGCTCACCCACATGGCACACATTACAGTCTAGGCCCCATGTAAAGACTGGAAGCAGTTAATCTCTTCTGTGCAAATACCCTTTGCCCATGCTGAAGAAGATAAACCAATCTTTGAACCTGTCCTTCTGTCTTTGTTCTGGGGTCTTTATTCTCTCTGGGGGTCTCCTCTTCCCACTCAAGGGCCCCATATCCCTTTTCGAGATAGTCAGAAATCCACCCCATGGAGGAAGGAACTAATCAAGCCAGCCTTAGGGGTTCCCATTTATACACCCAAGTTCTCACTAGCTTTTGTAGCAAGAAAAGAAGATCAGAAGTCAGGCATAAAAAAAAGAAAGGAAGGATTCCATTCTTAACTTACCATTTTCTTTGTGACACACTCTTTCATATGCACTTTTCATGTAATCTTCACAACAGGCCTGATCTCTACATCCACATCAAAATATCTTAAGTTGAGAAAATTTAAAGTTACAGATCTAGATTGTAATAGAGCTGAAATTCAATCCTAGTCCTGGTTGAGTCAAAGTCCTTATTTACTCCACTACCCCACCCCGACCTGGGTTTGGACATATGGGACCAAATGTCTCTTTTTGCACCTTTGGCCTCACCAACCCAACCTCACTCCAACCCAACCCTATGTCTTGAGTAGGTTTGTCACTGGCCGCCAGAAAGCTTTGGCTGGGATTTTGCACTTTTCACTGAAAATTCATTATCCCTGTAGGAAATTCAAATATGTGTTCTAGTGGCTGTGACTAAAAGCATCAGCTGAGCACAAAGGACAGCCCAGTTTGAGGATGGTGCTGATTCATCCTCTTTCCTATCTGCCTGGCCTTGGGTTTCTGCATAGTACATATCCTCCCTAGCAAACTGGCCTGGACCTGTTCTTTCCCAACTTTGTTTTCTGGTCACTTTTCCAGTCCAAAAGGACCACTTTGTTTTTGGTTTGGTTTGGTTTGGTTTGGTTTGATTTTTAAGTAAGCTCTATGCCCAACATGGGGCTTGAACTCATGATCCCAAGATCAAGAGTTTCATGCTCTACCAACTGAGCCACCCAGGCACCCCTAGCAAGGCCACTTTGAATATGGATCCTAATTTTTAAGGTCTGACACCCTCTCATGAACATGTCGTCCACCAAGTTAATAAACACACTCCCTACTCTCTTACCTAACAATTGTCAACAAAAGTGATTTGCCTACTTGGCAGCTGTATGGTCTTCTCCTTAGGGAAAACCTGACCCCTACCCCTGACAAGGGGCCTAGTTCAGAGTTCTAATCCACTTCAGGTAGGATGGGATGGAACAGATCATTGTGTAGGAGATGGTTTATAAGGATACCATTACATGACTTGAAACACAATTCTCAAGTACTTTGAAGGGGTTAATAATGAACAATCTGTCCTCTGGCCATGGACCCTTCATAAGCTTACTCTTTCCCTGCTCCAACCACATTGTTCCAAAGAAAATAGCTTAAGGAATGGTTTACTCACTTACAGGTTCTGGGTCAAATGCTTCTTTGGTCTTGAAGAGCTTAAGAACAACAAATATTTTTCTCTAGATCAAGTAACTGCTGGCCTTCAGCTGAACCCCTGCTTCCCTCTACAGTTCCTCGGCCCCTAAACATTGTTGGATGTGTATTCCCTGTATGTTATTTGTTCTTGATGCTATCTTATGGTTTTTCTTTAACCAAATAAGATACTCTACCTGCACAAATAGCTCCCAGGAAAATGGTCCATAACAAGGATTTGTGGGGAATGCTGACTGCCTCCAAACAAAGGGAAAGTTGTTTTTCATCTTCTCTATATTTTAATTCATTTGCTGGAACCTATTAGCACATTCTACTGTCACTGTGGACAGGCTGCTAATAGCTGTGGAGCATGAGGGTGGTAGAAAATGCTATTAAATTTGGAGTTTTGTCTTGTTACCTTGGGAGTGAATTATATAAAGTTGCCTAATTAGCTCCTAGGCATCTGGCAGACTGGCCAAGGCAGAATATGGAGAGCTGCCTCACGAATACCAATAACACATAGGGGGCCACCTTTTAGGGACTCCACACTCTGAATAGCATGCCACTCATGACCTTGCTTTTGACAACTAAATAAGCTGCAGCCAGCCCTCCAGCAACTGAGGCACGTGCTGCTTCCCCACTAAAGCTCTATAGAGGGATGGGCTGATCTGGATCACCCACATGAGCAGCTACCCCAGGATTACTTTGGGAAACCATTTCTGCTTATGTCATCAAATTAAAAAGTCAATTTTAAAAGTTATGATAAAGTACCAATGAACCTAGAGACACACATATACACACACTTCACCCACCGATTTCATTCACCAATGCTCACTCCTAAGTACATACACATTCTTTCATACATGGAAGGGAATCCTAATCACAAATCCCTGTGGCCAAATCTGAGGTCTGGATAGAGCAAAGTGGAAAGTAGTTTTAGTGGTCATTAGGGCAGAGACACATGCATACACAGGTTCATTTCCTGGCTCTTTTGTGTTCATCAATCAGGTCCCTCATCAATCCTTGCTTGCAAGGAAGAAAAACTCATTCAAACTAACTTAAGTAAAAAGGTGACCTTATTTGCTAATTTTATTATCTTCTCTTCGATAATCTGTTTATTTGATCTATATCTTGTTAGATCAGGATCTGTTTGATCTTGGCAGGTATGCTGGGGGTTTTTTATTTGCCCCCACCCCCCAGATCCATTATCCACTCTCTGTTCTATGCTCCAGAAAGCCCCTCGCTGGTTGCTCCCTGTTGGATTTAGCTAGTGGGCTTCACTGAAATCATTTCATTTAAACCATCTGAGTTAAATTCTGTTTCCTACCTAATGCAGTGGAAACTCTAAATGTCCTACCTTTGATCTGTCCAGTCGTCCTTCAACCATAATGGCTTTCTAGTTCTACATAGCAAATTCAGGTTAACAGACATTCTCTTTGCAAACTTTTTGTCTCTATTCCCAACTTGACCATAGTCAATATTTTGATATCACATAATTATCAGTAATTGCCATCTATTTTTTAAGTTATTTGGAAAATAGTAGCATTTGTGCCTTACAAATAATACAGACACCTATTAATCTTGTTCAGTTTATTACTACAGTCAAGGTTGTATTTTGGATCTTGCAATGTCCTTTAGACTCCAAGCCCCAGGGGGTTAAGCTCAGAATACTTTTGCTCATGACTGTATCCATATCACAAAGCACAGTGCCTGGCAGAAGGGAGCAGGTAATAAAATCTGTGTCTAGTTCTAAAAAAAGAAACAAGGAGGAGAAGGAACTTGTTTATGCCTTTGGGTTTCATCTGTTCTAGAAAACTTAAAATAGTAATAAAAAATACCACTGGTAAGAGCTAATATATATTAAGCACCTACTGTAGTCTATGACTGCAGTTCACTATATTATCTCATTTAATCCTTGTAACCACACTATGAATTAAATATTATTTTCATCTCCATTTAAGAAAATGAGATTCCAAGAGGTTAGGAACTTGTTCTAGGTCACCAAGCCTGTATGTGACAGAACCACCCTAAGTTTGACAGTCTACAGAATCTGCTCTCCCAACCAAATCCAATGCTTGCCCCTCTTACCCCTGCCCTATGCATGGCTTTGCCATTCCCTCTGGAGCTCACAGTATACTTCTCCTCCAACTGCTTCATGGTCAGTACGTCAAAATTGTGGAAGGTGTCTTCCATGTCTTCTGCTGAGTCTTCTTTTCTTCAAGTTACACATCCTTGGTCCCCAGTGATTCCTCACACAGCGTGACTTACAGACCTCTCATCTTGTTCTAGTGTAGATGTGCCCCAAAGTTCTTATTTAAGACACTTCCACCCCTCCCCCCTTCCTCAGCAGTGAGGGTTGGCTATATCTATGAACTTTCCATCCAGAACTCACCACACCAAATAGGCATAACACTGTCTTCCTGGGACACCCTAACTGGGAGTGATACATCATCAGACTGATTGTCGTAACAGATCCGTATGATTCACAGGAGTTGTGTGTGCATGCATGTGCGTGTATGTGTAAGGGAAGAAGGATGTTATAGGAAGAGAAAGCAGAACCTGTTTTCTGGAAGCTGTCTTAAAGCAAGGCTTTCCTTGATGGGGGAAGTTTAGGGAGTCTGCAATCCCAGAATCTATTCACCCTTAAAGACCAAAATCATGTTCTAGGCAACTGAAAACAAGCATGTTTCCAAACCTGTGAACCTCCACGCACAATGAAGTGAGATCTGTTTTCTCTCCTTGACTGGAGGCCCAAACATTTTCCATTCCCTGAAATGAAAGGACTTCACTGAAGTGAAATTGGGAGTTAACGCCCCTCCCAGAAAGTAGCCCTCCAACAACTGCTTGTTTGAGAAGTTCTTTCTCCCTGAGTTATTAAAATAGACCAGGAGTTCTTCTATTGTTTTGTGCTATGTGCTCCTTGGCAGTCTGGTGAAGACTCTGAAGCCCTTCTAAGAATCGTGTTTATAAATGAATAACCTAATTACGTAGGAATTCAAAAGAAATCAAATATATTAAAATATAGTTATAAAATATTTTTAAATTATGATATAATAACAATGTGTTTCTTTAATAGTGTTTTAAATATTGATATCTATGTCTAATAACTATCGTAATTTGGAAGTAGCAACAAGCACAAGCGATATTTCAACAACTCTGCAACAATCTATTATGGAAAAAATATCTGATCGCTATTGGTGACAGAGTCACAGGCACTGTTCATTACTTGCATTCGTTATTAAAAGAAATGCTAATGTTCAGTCAGAGGTTAGGAAAGATAAAGATGTAATCTCTTCCCAGCAAAATTCATAGACCCCCTGAGTTAAATGGACCCCAGGATGAGCTCCCTTAGGGAACTGAAACTTTAGAATCTTAATGGGAGAGACTGTAGAAATGACCAAGTCATCTTACAAGTGAGCAAAACTTGATTTGAGGTGTGAGATCTTCAGTTTTTAATGTACCTCATACATTCCAGTACTTAGTATTTTGTCTTTTACTTATTGAGAAACTAGTGGGAAAGTTTAGGAGTGAAAATTTGAGCACAGGTTATCTGCTTGGTACATGTATTGAATTTCATCATTTATAAGCTGTATGTGGAGAAAAGAGGAAAAATGGTCCATTCTACAATGAAGCTCATTCCTGGACCCCTGGCTAGAGCTTGCATACTGCCAAGGCCCCTCACCCTCTACATACAAGTCTAGAAAAAGTTCTCTCACCCTCTCCTAAAAGGACATTCCCCAAGCATTCGAAGAGGCACACTTTTTACTTTCAGCTGACACTGAAATGCTAAGGTAGGGAAACTTTAGTTGATTCTTTGGAAGAAAGTAATGCACTCCTCAAGGGAAGATTCTCACTGACATCTTGACTTATCATGTCCCAACCACTCTTGGAGCCATACAAGCTCCTGTCCGACAGACATCCAGCAGATGTCACTGGATACCACCTCCACAGCCCTACACTGCCTTGTACCACACATCTTCTCCTGCCTTATAGCCCAACGAGGTCACTCAAGCCTCCAAAGGAGCAGAAAAATCCAACTGTCTCTACCTGTCTTCCCATGAAAGACAATAGGATAATAGACAACTGAAAACAAGCATGTTTCCAAACCTGTGAACCTCCATTCCCTGAAATGAAGGACTTCACTGACGTGAAATTGGGAGTTCTGAAGATCTGAACATCTTTTATATTGTTTCAGATCTAGAAGTTACCACAGAGATGATCTATTAGGGGTACTAACGGTAATTTGGGCAGGACAACTTTTTGTGCAGAAGTATTTGAGCCCTGTACACTAAATGCTGAAAGCGCATGCCCCATGTCTCCGTGACCATCACAAGTAGCTCCTCAGATTTCCAAACAACCCCTAAGGGAGGTCAGACAGCCCCTGGTTGTGGATGAGAACCATTGAATGAAAATGAAGCACAGAAATGTTAATGAGTTCCCCCAAGACATAGAGATAGCCAACTTATTGATTTGCTTATAACCCCACTTATTTCCAAAAATGATTTGAATGTGTTGAACAACCCAGTTTTCATTTGGCCGAAATTCTCCTTATCTCCATTTTACACATGTGGGAATTGCCCAGGGTCACACAGCTAGAAAGTACTGGAGATCAGAACCAAACATTGAGCACAAGTTCCGCCATGTTCCTCCCTCTGCTGCTCAGGACTGTCGCCAGGCACTGGGCAGTTGTGGGTACCACATGTTAGGCCCTGGTGCTGCTCGAATACTCTGAGTCTGAGAAATGCCATTGTCCCACCAGGTGCTGCAAGGAGCAGCCACGTGTTTCTATGCTTTCATTGGCTTTGACATCATTGCCACCACTGGAGAGGAAGCCAAGAATCCAAACACGTCCATCCCTTATGCTATCACCGCCTCCCTGGTCATCTGCCTGACAGCATATGTATCTGTAAGTACTACATCCTTTCAGGACCGTCCTGATGGTCTTTTCGTATTTGGCCATAAAATGTAGCTCCGGTACTGGGTTACCTTCTGTCAGGAAGTGGTCCCTTCCTTGTGCTATCTTGGTGTCTGTATGCATGTGTCCATGCACCCTCTATCCCACCCACCCACGACAAGAAGAAAATCAGGACTTCAAACTGGAGATGGGAGCACCCCTCACTTCCTTCAGCCTTGGCCTCCGGAGTCTCCATCCCCGTTCCTCCCCACACACAGACTCTGGGTGTCCACTGCTGCCCAGGGGATGGTGTACAGGGAGTGGGCTGCTATCCAAGGAGCTCAGATCATAGGCTGGCAGTAACGGGTGGGTGTGCAAGCAGAGGCATTGTGGACCTCTGTGCACCCTCCTCAATGCTCTTCTGTCTTCTGGGAGCTTCCCGGCAGCGAGAGGCAAGGCTCTCCCAGAGTGGGGAAAGAGAGTACATCATCCTCTAGAGACACTCTTCCCCTTAAATCTCAGGAGAAATTTCTTTCTGTTGTTGCTCCCTCTTTTTATACCAGTCCAAGCATCTTTTTAAGGTTTTCCTACTGAAGGGAATCCTCAGAAGGAAGCCTTCAGGCTTGTCTTCTCAGGATCACCTCCCTGAGATGATCTTCACACTTACGATGTGTCATTTCTCAGGTCCCATCCCAGAATTTCTATCACAGAAATAGTTCACTCACAGCCAACATGCCCCCCCCCCGCCGCCACCGCCCCAACCCAGCCCCTGGCAATGGAGAGAACCAGGTAACAAGCCAGTAGGTATGTCGTTACACAAATGCCCCAGGCCCTGAGAGTCCCACTCACTTCAGTTACCACAAATAGGAAAGAGCCAGCAGCTGGAGACATGCCCTATCAGCCCTGCCACCCTGGCTGCATAGCATAGGAAAAGAACCTCCTTCCCAAAAACAAAAACATATTTAGCAACTAAGGAATCCAGATCAGTGGCTGGCTTGATCATTAAGGCAAGCTGCAAAATAAGAGTGTCCTGGACACCAAAGGGAAACACAAGAGCAGCCTTGGATGTGGTTTATAGGAATTCAGCTGCTCCTCGAAATTGTTTTAGAAGTAGGTCAATTATCACCTTCCCCTATGCACACACAGGCAAGCGGTTTCATCTTATCCATACCCTGGTTATCCCTGCAGACAGGGTGTTCAGGGAGTAGGGGTGGTGTCAGGGGAGCAGGAGAGACACCCTGCTCTGTGTTTCCCCTCTATTCCTCCCTTACATACCTCCCCCTCCTTCAGGGGCCAACCCCTGCAGCACACACAATAAAGTTAATAATCACAATTCCTTCCTTAGAACAGCACTTTATAGACTGCAGAGTACTTCTATGCATCTATCAACTTTTTGCCCATCCTGACCTAACTTGAGCAGTAGACTCAATGCAAATTGCTGTAGGAATCAATCCCATTCTCCTCCAGCCCACCCCCAAAGGGGATGTTGCAAGGGGTGAAGTTGCTGGGAAACATTCTCTTCTAGAACACATGACCCTTACCCATGCCTCCGGGGTTGTTTGGTGTTGTGCTGGTCAGCAGGCTGCCATTCCATGATCAGAAGAGCCAAATTGCTGGCCTGTGGTGGTCCATCCTCCTGTCCTCCCTAGCAGCCCATGGCTTCGCAGGAGGATTTTGGCTCCTGACGAATATGTGAAGGAGTGGTCTAGAAGTGCACCACCCTCTCCCTTTCAGGCTCTGAACTCCCTTCTTGATGCCAGCATTGGCCTCTGCAGGCCAGGGGAAGCCTGGCCTTATGACCAGTGGCTTCATTGCCCAGGGCCATGAGGAAGGGATGTTATGGCAGATTTATGACATACGAAGGAAGGTAGGTCCTGGGAGCCACGTGATTCCTGGCTAAGCAAAGCCACAATAGTCTTACAACCCCAGAGTAGAACTGGGTTCCATCCTGATACCATAATTTGTTTGTTGGTCTGCCTGGCTCCTGGCACTGAGCTACAGAGAAGAAATGGAAATATGAGTCCTTCCTTGGGTCCCATCTGTTAACTGGCTATGGCCCTCTGATCACTTATCTTCAGAGTTTCTATCTCTGGTCTTCAGGGTGAAAGGGAACATATAGTTAAGAGTGTATAAGACCCTGAAAGTATAAAAGAAATGAGAGTCTGGCTCATGTGGGCAGGGTGCCCATGGTCACTGCTAGGCCCTGGCTCCAGTGTCTTTGGCTGTCGTTCCTTCTACCTGATAGTATCTGCCTTTCATTGAACTGTCAATGTAGTTCTGCTGTTGTTGTGCTTAAATACCTGCATACTTATTCCTCAGCTATGAAAGGGCCAGAGAGAGATATTTAGGATCATCTGGCCAAGTCCACTAAATTCTAACGAGAAGAGAAAATACTGAGACCAAGAGCTCTGGAGCCCAAATGAGAGGTCTAAATTAAGGGCACATGCCAGGAAGTGGCAAATTCAACATCCAGGCTTCTTTGCTCTCCTGTGGGACATCCATCCATGCTGACCGTTCTCTCTACCTCCAGCCATGTTTTCTCTTGTTTTAACAGGTGAGCATGATCTTAACTCTGATGGTGCCATACAGTGCCATTGACACAGAATCCCCGCTCATGGAGATGTTTGTGGCTCATGGGTTCTATGCTGCAAAATTCATAGTGGCCATTGGGTCGGTTGCAGGACTGACGGTCAGCTTGCTGGGCTCCCTCTTCCCAATGCCAAGGGTCATTTATGCCATGGCTGGTGATGGGCTCCTTTTCAGGTAAGGGCTATGCTCCATGAAATGTATTCTATTCTGCCATGCCTGCCCAGGGAGAATGTCAGCCTGACCAAAATTTTGATGTGAGTGTATGTCACATAGACGATGGAACTTGTCATATATCCTGACAAAGAGTTTGAGTGAAAGTAATGTAAGCCCTGAAATAGTCCCTCAGTTTGACTCTAGGTCCCCCAATCTAGCACAAACTGATATGTTCCCCTAACTGCCCTCACCCGTCCTGTTCGGCACTGTGTGTTCCTTTCTAAAGATTGTGGGTGTCCAACTGTCATGCTGGGTGGCTTCCAGAAGGAAAGACCCATCCCAGGAACATCTTAGGCCTGCCCTCATGTTGAGGCCTGGTACTGCCCATCTCTCCACAGTCCCTCTGAAGCTGAAAACATTCAAAGCTACCATTGCAGGGAGGATAAGACCATCTGAACAGAGCCTAATAACAGTAGCAACAATGGCTACCATTTATTGAACATTTGTGTATCCTGGGTGCTTTGTATACAGTATCCCAGTTAGTTGTCACAATAACCCTGTTCTGCAGATGAATATAGTAGATGAGTATACTCAGGTGAAAAAACTTGCCCCAATCCCCCAGCTGCTAAGTGGGGGGCCAGGATTTGTACTCATGACTGTCTGACTCCAAAGACCAGATTTTTAACCACACCAATGTATGGACTTTGAGCCCCCTACATTGGCCATAAAGCAGTCAATCTTCCCATGGGCACAAAGGGAATGTGGCCCACCTCTTGGTTCCCAGTGCCCACCATATGAGGGCCTTGCAGCGAAGGCATTCTTCAAGTTCACAAAGCAAGGAGTAAAGCATAGAGGCCAAGGAGCTCTCAGGGGTATGGAGGGATCCCCTCAGGGACTTTCTCTCTGCCATGAGCTGTCATCTTCTGCTTCATTTCCTCCGCATAACCTCAAAGTCATCACCAGGTCAGAGCTGCCATGTTTGGGAGCTAGACAATTGGAGAAGAGGCTGATTATCATGGAGATGAGACACTTCACACATCCAAAAGATTTTTCTGCCGTCAAAGAAAACTAAGAGGAAAAAAACCCAAGCACAGCTGATAGTCATGTGTAAAACACAAAAATAAGGGAAGGGGACCTAGGTGGCTCAGTCAGTTAAACGGCTGACTCTCAATTTCAGCTCAGGTCATGATCTCAGGGTCGTGGGATTGAGCCCCACATCAGGCTCTGGGCATGGAATCTGCTTAAGATTCTCCCTCTCTCTCTCTCCCGCTGCCCCTGCCCCCACCTCTGCATATGCTCTCTCTTTCTCTCTCTCTAAAAAAAAAAGAAAAAAAGAAAAAGAAAAGAAGGAAGAAATGGAAGAGCGGGAAAGAGGGAGGATTAGGAGGAGAGTGAGGTGGAGAGCAGGAACCTATTTAAGGCCCACAGGAACTGCTAAAGAAGCACCTGTCATTCATTCACCTTGGTAATTGGCCAGACTTAGCCTGCATCTATGAACACATGTTCTGAATTATTGTGCTATTTTGCCAACTAAACCCCTGCACTTTCATTATAGAGCAGTGTTTCTCAAGTTTTGGCATAAATCAGAATCCTCTGGAGTTTTTCTGAAGTATAATTTGCTAGGGTCCATGCCCAGAGATTCTGACATAGTAAGTCTCTGGTGAAACCTGAAAATATGTATTTCTAATAAGCTCCAAGGTGATACTGATGCTGCTGATCCATGGATTGACCACGCTTTGGGTAACACAGGTATATACGCAAGTATATGAATTCTCCACCCATCACTTCTTCCCAGCAAAGCTTGCAATTCAATTCAGGTTTCTGACGTACTTCCCAAATCCAATCAACCCTTCACATCACATAATGAAGTAGGAACTTTAATAAAGAAGTTTGCCTCAAAACCAAGGCATTAAAGTAAATTCTTTTTAAATTATATTCCAGAAACCAAATCCTGTGGTAGGAATAGCAGCTGTATTGAAAGCAGTGAATCCAGAAGTAAATTGGAGGAGCAGGACAAAGAGGAGTTAAACCACGTTAGAGTCAGTCATCATCTGTAGCTCACTGCTAAGCTTCTGCTTGCCCCTCCCTCCAGGTTCCTGGCTCATGTGAGCTCCTACACAGAGACACCAGTGGTGGCCTGCATTGTGTCGGGGTTCCTGGCAGCTCTCCTCTCGCTATTAGTCAGCCTGAGAGACCTAATAGAGATGATGTCCATCGGCACACTCCTTGCCTACACCTTGGTTTCTGTCTGCGTCTTGCTCCTTCGATACCAACCGGAGAGTGACATTGATGGTTTTGTCAAGTTCTTGTCCCAGGAGCACACAAAGAAGAAGGAGGGCATCCTGGCTGACTGTGAGAAGGAAGTTTGTTCTCCTGTGAGTGAAGGGGAAGAGTTTTCTGGCCCAGCCACCAACACATGTGGCGCCAAAAACCTACCATCTCTGGGAGACAACGAGATGCTTATAGGCAAATCAGACAAGTCAACCTACAACGTGAACCATCCCAACTATGGCACTGTGGACATGACCACAGGCATAGAAGCCGATGAATCTGAAAACATTTATCTCATCAAGTTAAAGAAGCTGATTGGGCCCCGTTACTACACCATGAGGATCCGGCTGGGCCTTCCAGGCAAAATGGACCGGCCCACAGCAGCTACAGGGCACACGGTGACCATCTGCGTGCTCCTGCTCTTCATCCTCATGTTCATCTTCTGCTCCTTCATCATCTTTGGTTCCGACTACATCTCAGAGCAGAGCTGGTGGGCCATCCTTCTGGTTGTTCTGATGGTGCTGCTGATCAGCGCCCTGGTGTTCGTGATCCTGCAGCAGCCAGAGAACCCCAAAAAGCTGCCCTATATGGCCCCCTGCCTTCCCTTCGTGCCTGCCTTTGCCATGCTGGTGAACATTTATCTCATGCTAAAGCTCTCCACCATCACATGGATCCGGTTTGCAGTCTGGTGCTTTGTGGGTAAGCAACTTCCTTTGGAGCCTTGAGAGTTCCCTCTCAAGGCCTTGAACAGGCTTATCCCAAAATTACCTCCTAGCTGGACTAGGCATCTCCATTGCAAGAGGAATCTAGCTGGTTTTATGGACCCTTGCTTTCTGCATTAGAGTCCATAAAGCCAGTTGTGCCCTTTCTGCCTGTTATGGTCTTGGTCGTTGGTTCTGAAGAATGATGCTGATCAATCCATCACTTCATTGAATACTATTACTGGACATTCTTTTTATGGATAATTAATTCCATGAAAAATCCACTTCAAATGAATCCACATAATAAAGGGACAAAAATAGCACAGTAAAAGTGAGAGCGGAAAAGTTCAACTGGAATTCTATCTTAGAAACTAAAAATTATGAAACTAAAAGTTACGGAAAAAAGGATTTTTCTTACTTTTGACAAAATTAAATTAAAATACCAATCATGCCCTAATTTTTTTAATCAGCAAAGTATAAATTAAGTGTGGATTTTTTGGCATAATTTTTCTGACTTAATTATACCATTTAACAGCCCCACTTCATATTGACTTTTACAAAATATTAAAGACTTTTTCATTTTTTCCCAAGATTCTTTCTTCATCCTTCGATATTCCAGTCATTCTCTTGGGAAGCACCCATCACGCCATCATTCTTACTGATTTTCTTTTCTTCTGTTGATAACTGAAATAACTCTGCCAGCTCCTCAACTCTCCACAGCTTTGGGTGTAAATCAGAGATGCTCTCTCTAAGTTCACGTTCATTGCCTTCAAAAAGTCTTGCACCTTTCCCAAGATTTTTAATTTTCCTTTGTGCTCGATTTGTATTATTATATGTTTCTCACACCCAACAAGCACTGATGTTCATGAGATGGCTGGGGATTGGTGCTCATGATCACTTGAGAGGGAGGTTTAAGTGAAGCCTAATTTTAAAGTTCCTCAGTCACTATCTTGATGGTCCCTATACAAATTGGTAGCCCCGAAGTCCCATCCACTCCTTGAGGTCAGGAATATGGGCGTTCAACACAGCATCCTCTGTGCCTGGAACACAACTCGTGCTTAATAAACACTTCTCTCTGACTACTGTTCAGATGAGAAAAAAGGAGTAGCTGGAAAGGAGCATGAGGAGGTGGAATTTAAATTGTAAGCCTATAAGATAAGATTTACATAGAGGGAAGTAGCGGAAAAACAGTGCTCAAGGGCGCATGGGTGGCTCAGTCAGTTAAGCGACTGCCTTCAGCTCAGGTCATGATCCCAGGGTCCTGGGATGGA